GTGACCCGTTTTAAAGTACCAGAACCTGTGTTATCGACTCCGTAGGTTCACTGATCTTCACCCCCTCCGCTGCCGCCACACCAGGATCCCAGATAAGCACGGTGACCCCTCCATCTCACCAATAACCTTTGCCTAAAGCGGAGGGCAGGGGACACATTGGTGTGCTCTGCAAGGCCCGTTCTCCCGCACTGATGGGCTGGTAAGTCTTGCCTAAATCCCTTCCCACAGAAAGGAGAAGTGGTGAGCACCATAGGTTCTCAGCCACAGCACCACTGCCCCTGCGTGTGACCCACGGATGGGAGGGGTGTCACAGTCAAGGGTTTCTAGAAATGAAACATTCATAAACGCCTCCCAGGAGTGTCCAACCTGCGTCTTGTGGGTCACATGTGGCTGTGAATGCGGCCCGACACAAAATTGTAAATTTACCTGAAACTGTTTTTTTGCTCATCGGTTTTCGTTAGTGTTTGTGTATTTAATGTGTGGCCCAAGACAACTCTTCTTCCAGTGTGACCCAGAGATGCCAAAATGTTGGACACGCCTGCTAGGCACTGTTAAGAGCTGCCTCTGTTAGAAGACTCTCCTCACTCACTGCTTCCTCTTAGGCTTTCTTAGCTGGCAGAAGGAGGAGCAGGTGCCTGCCCCAGAGGTGGGGATCGGGTAGAAGCACGCAGATGCTTATGTCCACGTGCGTCTGCTATGAAGAGAGTAGCTGCCAGGAATTAGGGCAGTGTGGATAATAGTTGTTCTGTGTAAGTAACTCAACCCTATGCGTTCTTTTTCATTTTGGTTGTCAATTATATTTAATGCAACATTCTAAAAATCTAAATTAATGCAAAAAAATCCATGATGAACAAAATATCAAATTTTTAAAGGAAGGCTTCTTACTTCTAGGTTTTGGGCAAATCAGTATTGCCAAATCTCAGTTTCTTCATTCTGAAAAATGGGAAAGGAATACAGTGAGTTGTCTTTGCCCAGAGGCTGTAAGGATCAAATCAGAGAATGTATTTAAGGCGCCTGATGCACAAAAGACCCTGAAAAGAGTGAATGCTGTTGTTCACAAGGATTTATGGAATAGCTGTGCTAAAAAGTGACAGAATGTTTGTTTTTCTCTCTCCCTTTTATTTTTGGTTATTCTCCAATGTCGAAGAGGAAGGTTAATATCGATGCTTCTCTGAATGGCATTTGCCATCTGAACCTCATCCCGCAGACACAAGTAAATATTGACACACAGAAGCCATTACTGGAACTGGCCCAGTAAGCCAGTTCCTGTGTCTTTTAGGCCCATCCCACTCCGTGGCAGGGGCTGGGCCTCTTCATCCTCTTCCTATGGCTCCCACCATCTTTCTCTTTGGCTTGCTGCCTCTCTCTGCCTCCTGCCCCTCCACAAGCACAGTCTCAGGCGTTCTCATCCCAAAACTGTGATTGTTTGACTGGAAGTATGGGAGGAAGGAGTGGGCCAAGGTGGCAGGATAGGAAGTGGGCAGAAGTCGCCTTTGCTGGCATGATAGGAAGCCTTCCCCTGTGGTCTCTCCTGAAGCTGGCATCACGTCCCTTGGTGGTGGTTGTAATAGGGTTCCTGCTACCTGAGTGTGTTACCAGATGGGGACCGGGGCTGGGGTGGGTCTGCCTCCAGCCGGCCGGTACTGTGTGGGTTCTTGACTTCATGCAGGAAGGATTTCACAGCCCAAGTCCAAGTGATTTTGAGAGCACGTTTATTAAAGCAGAGGACAGTGAAACAAAGGAAGGGCTCAAGGGAGAAGAAGCAACAGGTGGGGCTACTTTGGCTTTCTAGAAACATTGTAGGAAAGAAGTGAGCCAGGCTAGGCTGGGAGAATTCAATGAGAAGTAAAAGTCACAGTGACAGATTGAGCCAAGGCAGGGCGGCTGTTAGCTCACTAGAGGGAAAAAAAAAAAAGGAAGGCTTGAAAATAGGTTCAGAGGGGAAGCCTGGGACAAGCTGATGCTGCTCTCTGCTCCTCTGGCTGCAACCTCATGGGGACCCTTAGTTTAGGAGAAAGAGAGCAGAGATACTAGCTCTAGGGAGAGCACGTCAGGAGTCCCTTGTCTTGAGGCTTTTTCTCTTTCATTGACCAGTGGGAATCCTTGGGGAGATCTCAGGGGAGGGTCTTAACAGAATAATCCTAGCTTTCCAAGTGTGTCCTTTGATATGTGGACTCATCAAAATGTGTGAATAGACTTGTTTTTTGATTAGTTTTATTTTCAAAGAACGTCCTCAAAGAGGGACCAAGCCTGAGGCCAGTCTGCCCTGGGGCAGACTTACTCTGAAATGAGTAAACCATTTATTCCTAAGTGTCCTAGGTTAGAGGACATAAAGCCTTGGATTCATTTACTGGTTGTGAATTGCTCAAATTGTTTGGCCTTGCTTAATTATATTGTCTCAGCTTCCCTTACTCCACTTAGAGGGTGCCACCATAGGGTGCCATCATAGTCACCCTATAAAAGTATCCAATATGGCTGTGGCTGGTGTGGCTCAGTGGATTGAGCACCAACCTGCAAAGCAAAGAGTTGCTGATTCGATTCCCAGTGTAGGGGGACATGCCTGGGTTGCAGGCCAGGTCCCCAGCAGGGGCTGCGCGAAATGCAACTGCACATTGATGTTTCTCTCCCTCTCTTTCTCCCTCTTTTCCCCTCTCTAAAAGTAAATAAATAAAATCTGTAAAAAGGAAGTATACAATTTGGTGGTTTTTCACATATTTAGAGTTATACCAGATTTCACAGGACCTTGAAAGCCAAGGAAACAAGTTGAAATTTTATCTTAAGGAGATTGAAGAGTTAATTGCAAAACATGTTTATTAATGAAATAATCTGACAAACAGTATTCCCATTTCCTTTGGCTTCTTCCCAACTTTATGCTGCAAGTTGTTTTTATGCTTGTAATCATGCCATATTTATGATTCTGCTTTCACTTTAATATTTTTTCATATCTTTTTTCTATACTGTACAGTCTTCATTTTTTATGACTACATGTTGTCTCTTGCTATTGTTGGATAGTTAGTGTTTTACTTTATGTGTATAGAACTTTTTAAAATAAACGTGTGTGTGTGCGCGCATGTGTGTGTGGCTGGACTAGAGTGAGGTTACCAAGTGCCCCAGGGGTAAAATTTAAGGAGGTGTCCCTGCCCAGGCATGTAATATTGAAACTACCTACATCACTTTCTTCATCCTAATCCCAGTACTATACCTAGTGTGTGTGTGTGTGTGTGTGTACCTTTAAATTATTTCAACAGGGTAAGATTACTGGTCTCATGACGGTCCAAAGTACATTCAGATTCTTATTGCTCCTGATATTAAGTACTAGAATGTTTCTCAGAAGGACTCCATTGAAGGCTTTTTTTTAAAGCATAATTTTGACAGTGCATGATGACATTTTACAAAGATTACGGAGGCAGCAAGGCAGTGAAGAGACTATCACAATACTATGTCCCAACTATAGAAATTCCACAGGTCTGACTTCTCATTTGGGTAACTGGGTCAGAATACTCCGTTTTTAGACAGTGATGCCTCCATGCAGTCAGCTGCTATACTCTGTCATCATAGAAACTGCAACAAAGCCCTTTACCATGAGACCATGCCCCTCCCAGACGACCCCTCTGTGTATGCCAACCTGGTCACTTCGGGTGCATTATTTTTGAAAAAGACTAGCCCTTTGGACAGCAGCCTTGTGTCACCAGGGATCTTAGCAATGAAGAGTGGTGGGCTGCTGCTGTTTGACCGCAAGCCAATTTCGCGCTTCCAGCTAAATGAACATTCTATTATTTGGAGACAACTAGCATCAGAATTTGCCTACTAACAGGAGTTTTTATAAAAATCAAGTGGAAAAATATCTGGTTGTGTATAAAATTTTCCTAAAGGGCACTTTTTAGAAATCACTAAGTGGAAAATCACCAGAATGGAGTTGAGGGAGGTTTGATTCCTGAGTCAGGACCAGGCAGGTATAGTCCTCAATCTTGCACGGTCAGGGGGAAGATTTGAGGGTGATGGAGCAGAAAGAGCAGGTTTGGGGTAGAGCAGAGCATCATGGATAAAGATTGTTGGAAGGAAACCAAAACTGACTTCAAAGCACTTTCAGCAGCTTTCCTTTGTTACTTTGGAACATAATATACCTTTTGAGGTCAAACTAAAAGAAGACTTACCTGCCAATTAGGGCTGGTCGATGTATTATTTAGCACCTCCTGATCTGAAGTACGTGAAACTACAGTATTAAAGCTAAGTTTTCTTTTATAATCGGTTTTCCGCCCATTCACTCTTCCAGGGTTTTGCTAAATTACCAGATTGAAACTTGCTACTTTGATAAGAGTCACTTTCTGAAGATTGACTAATCTGTGTGTTCTGGATCAAGTTCTTCAACGCTTCCTAGTCTGCAGAAATGCTGGCTTTTGGAGGAAAGCTTGCTGAACCAAACCCAGTGTATATATACACGGCTCGCACCTACAGTGAGGAGCCAAGATATATACATGCTGCCCGAGCAGCTACATACAGGCTGGGCAAACCCAAATCTCCAGAACGTGTTCTGAAACAAGATTGCAAACCGTTTCTCTTATAGGCACCTTCCTAAAAGCAAAATGTGCTAATATATACCTGTAGTCGATATGATTTGTACAAATTAAGGACAGGTCATTTGTCAAATTCCCGAGGAGCATGGTACTGGGCCTGGACAACAAACCTATCTCCCTCCCGGCTCTAAAAAAACAAAAACAAACAAAACACCCTTCTTCCAGGGCTGTTTTGCTTATTTGTAGGATGTCTGTTACTTTTGTTTGTTACATGCGCGTTTCCAAGCGCCTACACGAGTGGCGAAGTCTCTTAGGCTGCGTGGGGAACAACCCTCCAGCATTAAAATTCCGGCCCCGCTAGTACGTAGCGGAAGAAGCGTCTCAGAGGCGCTTGGGAGGAGGGGTGGACGCCGACTAGCCAATCAGAGGCCGCCCTTCCAAAGCCAGCAGCCAATCGTGTCAGCCCTTCCCGCGCAGCACGGTTTATATAAAGGTGCGCGCCGAAGCCAAGTAGACAAGATCTTTGGGTCTGGGTTTGAGGAGCGCAGCAGTCATGGCTAGCCACATCGTGCTCTCCAACGGCGCTAAGATGCCCCTCTTGGGCCTGGGCACCTGGAAGGTAGGTGCGGTGGGGGTCGCTTCCTGCTGCTCTCTTCGGGCTCCGCGCCCCCTGGGGCGGGGAGGGACCTAGAGTGACCCTCCGTGTGGTCGTCCAGCGTTTGAAGAGGCACACTTGGGCTTTGCTTGTCCTCGGCGGGCTCCGGTCGGCCTCGCGCGCTCCCACGGGCCGAGGAGGACCAGGCAGACAGGCCGGTGGGTTGCGGTGCGGGAGGGGCTTGGGAGGCCCGCGGAAGGCCGCCTCTGTAGACACTTGGTGGTTTTGGTCCCCAGGCCGCACTTTGAATCAGATCCCAGCTGGAAAAAAATGACTAAAAGGGACTGAAAGGAAAGTGGGCTTCCCGAACCCTCCCCCGCTCTGGCCCCAGGGATGGAAAACGGGAGAAGGATCAGGAAGACGGCGGGGGACGGGGGGTGCAGGGGTGGCGCGGAGCGCTGGCGTTCCTGCCGTAAGGGCACTCGGGGCGCCCTCCCTTTGTCTCTCTTCCAAATGGTTTGTGCTTAATGTGTTCCACTTTTCCCTCTAAGGGATAAGCATCTTAAGGTAAGCCGCTAGATTGCAGATAATTAAATTAGTTTGTCCAGGACGCATCCATTTCCCCGTCCCCAGACGTGCAGCGCGGAACCAACCCCTCCAGCCGGGCATCTCACTTTGGGGTGTGTCGCAATAGCCGGACGTCTCACTTTGGGCGTGTGTCGCAGAGAATCTGGGCACCAGTGGTTACTGCCTGCCTGTGGAAAACTGTTAGCAGGCTTTAGTATTAAATCTGGCTCCACAACTAATCACCACTGAAATCTCTTAACTCACAGCGTCTCTAAGAAATGGTTAGGAATTAAATGGATAGTCTGATTATCTGAAAATTAGGGGCACAGAAGGTGGTATTATGGGCACTGGGGAGAAACCCAGTATTTTTAAGCCGCTCATAAGATAGTTTCAGGTCTTACATAGTACATTGTACAGCTATGGCCCAGATTTACCCACTAACTTTGACTGCAGGCCTGGGCTTTGGCTATTTACAGACAGACAAGGGGGGGAAAAAGAGGCAGGATTGAGTTGCACACCTGCAGTATTTTGAAACTTAACAGAAGATGGTGCTTACCTCTACCCTAAAACCTGCAGTTGAAAATTGGTAAATATAAGCTGAATAAGAAAAGGGTCCTTGAGTTGCATCACATGGAAAATGTTTCTTGGCCGAGATGATCAGAATATTAGTAATTCTGCTTTTCCTTCAAAAAGTCCAGAGGTGGCTGTAAGGGTATAGTTTGAATTACGGTCATGATGTCGAGTTAAATTCCATAAGGAGCAGGTTATTCTCTCGGAATGGATGCGGAAAGATGTTTTCTTGGCAATGTGTAGCCCACAGACATACCCATGGAACTCGAACAAACGCTCCGCAAAGCAATCCTTAGCCTTACCAGGTGGGATGCATTCTGAAATGTTTTCGTTCCCTGTTTTCAGAAAGCGTGGTCCTGACCTTAGGCCTGTAATTTGAAAATCACAACTGTAGGGTGAAGGAGGAGTAAAGTTGATCAAAGAGGGCGTTTAATCATCCACCTGAGCACTTAACACCCTGCAAAGCTGTATGTTTCCTTACAACGGCACAAAATCTGTGTTTAGCTCCCTTGCGCAGGCTACAGTTTGTTGAGGGCTAGGGTGGTGTCTGCCTTGTTCAGTTACTGCCAGCGCTTTTCGCAGTGCCAGGTGAATAGCAGGTACGCAAAAGATAGGCGTTGAATTAGGAAAGTGGAGGGAAGTAAGATAACTTCAGATTTTGGGGGGGGTGGGCAGATGAGGTTTGTACTGAATTGTGTGGAGACATGATGAGGGTGGGGGTCAGTGAAATAAATGAGAGAAGTGGAGGCCTGGAGAGGGTTTCCTTTTTATAAGTACAAAAGTTTTACGAATAGCGGCGTCATACCTTCTCCACATATGAGTGTACATATTCCTTCACAAATGCGGGGCAAAAGGGGGGGTGGCCCAAATACCATTTGCTTCCTCTCCGGGAGAACCAGGGGAGGCCGCGAGTGGGTGCGGCTCCTTGTTCTCACGGACCTTTCCTGGACCTTTCCTGTCACGGGGACTGGCATTCTGGTCAGGCTGTTCTCTTGAGTCCACACTCTTTCAGTTCCAAGGAACGGGATAGCGAACAACAACAAAAAAAGTTTGAAGTGGGGATTTGTTGAACTGCAGAATGACCTGAGGTGTCCCAGATTGAAGGATATAAATGTGACCCTCACCTGCTCCTCAAGCCCACTTTCTTCCAGCAGCTCCTGGCTCAGATCCTCCCAGCACGGTGACCCCAGCAGAATGAAATGGTGTCTTGTTGGTGTCAACTTAAGGCTAAAGACGGACACTTGTGGGCCTGGCTTGGGTCATGTCTCTGTGCCAGTACTAGGCACCGACAGATACACTGTGTGGCTGCCCAGGGTTGGGGGCTGCAAGGTGCTGGGCTGGCACAGCACAGGGCTCTGCGGAGAAGGTCAGCGTTCCATTAAGTCTGAAGAAAGCCTAAGGCATGCCAGGCAGTTTCCCCCACCAGGGTCCCTCACTTGTTCTCTTTTTTGGGAGGGGTGTGCTCAGCTCCACGGCTCAGACCAGCGGCAGCTGTGCCCAGTTCGCCCCAAAGAGGCCGTGGTTGTGATGATCCGCTGCTCTGCTCTGTTCCTTCAGCCATGCAGCATGGGGAAGCTGCGAGGGAAGCTTCGTAGGGCCTCCGGGAAAGAGGAGGTTGCCAGATCACCTGAAGTTAATTTGTTGATCTAACACCTGAGTTAGCATGGCCAGGGCACCGTCAGGGCAGGGCAAGCTCTTATTCCAGTGCCTTCCTGTTCTGCCCTCCTCGCCTGTTCCGAGCAGCTGACGTCCAAACAGCAGATGTCTGCAGCTGCGGGTGGGCCCCGGGGAAACTCCCCTTCCATTCTTTTCTACCCCAGCTCTCGGGGGGAATGCGCTCCCTTCATTCAACAGCCCGCTGCACACGTGTTCACTGTTCACCCCACTGGTCTGAGCCAGGGATGGAGTCAGCGGCTGTGCAGTCAACCTGAGTGAAGCTTAATGGCTCTGCAGACGCTCCCTCCTCCTTGTCCTCCACAGCCGGGTGCCTGCACCTGTCCTGGTCATTCAGAGGGTTTGGGCACAGCCAGCCAGCCCTTCAGCTTCTTTGTAACTGTGACCACAGATCATGGTGTGGTCTTCCAAGATAGAGTGAGAATTGACGCCCAGGCCTTAGGTCTGTATCAGGAATATTATTGAGTTTGAGATTATGTCCCAAAACTGCTTAAAAACAAGGAATTGCCAGTATCTGAATCTGTGCACAAAAAAGAGAGTAAAAGCACAGGCGTTTACTGAACTCTGAAACCAAATGGGAATTGGGTAAACATTTACAGCGATTTTTGAAATATTTTGAGCTATTGAAAGGAACTGGTACCCTTACTGTCTTGGGGCCCTAACAGATTCAGGTAGCGGGGGACTTTTTTACAGTGGTTTGTAAATCATCAGATGTGAAGAAACCAGGAAGTGAATGTCTTCGCACATTTTTTTAAGGTGATCTGTGCTGCTGTTGCGTTGTCAGATGTTCCTAAAATGAAGCAGTGTGGCATTTCACCTGAGAGCAAATAGCTTAGTCTCTGCCTCAGAAGCTGGCCCTGGCCTTCCATAGCTGACCTTGAAGGAGCAGGTGCCTCAGGGAAGAACACTGGGCTCACTCTGTCCTCCTTCCTGGGTTGGATGCAAACTCCATTTTCTGTTTCCTTGGGGGTTTTAAATCCAAGACCTCCCTTCCCTTCCCTTCCAGTCCCCTCCAGGCAAAGTGATGGACGCTGTGAAGGTGGCGATCGACCTCGGGTACCGCCACATTGACTGTGCCCACGTGTACCAGAACGAGAACGAGGTGGGCATGGCCATCCAGGAGAAGATCAAGGAGCAGGTGGTGAAGCGTGAGGACCTCTTCATCGTCAGCAAGGTGCCGCTCTCGGGAGCCTGGGGCGGTAGGGTTCTCATTGGCGGTGATTGATGGGTGGCCTAGGCTTAGAGCCAAGGCCATATTCTGGGGCCCCTTCCTACAGCTACAGTTGTCACTCAGTACACGATTCTCCCAGGGAAAACAGGGAAAACGTATTAACTGGAGGCCACAAGGGGCTCCAGAGCGCGTCCAACCATAGCCGTCTGTGGGTTGGCCGTTCCACCTAGACCGAGTGTCCAGCCCCTTGCTGAAGAGGCTGAGGTCGTGGGTTGGTGCTTTCTTCTCCGGGGCTTCCCTTTGAGGGTAGAACTTGGTCCCCATCTACAGAGTGGATCTCCACTGCTGGCCGCCGCCTTTTACCTGGAGGCTGTGGGTGCCCAGAGGACACGTGGCGGGAGGGTCTCTCAGGGACAACAGCCCAGAGAACTCACGTGTCGAACCCAGGGCAGGTGCTTTGACCTGATAATCCGCGTCCCTCTGGAAAGCAAGGGTCCACACTGTGAGATGGCCCCTCCTTCAGCACCATGCACAGCATCACAGTGACACGGGTGGGCTGTGAGAGGAAAGTGGCTTCAGGCCATCTGGCTCCCAGCCAGGAAGCAGCTTCCTGCGTGGCAGTGATGAAACGCGTTTTCTCCCTGGCTCCAGCTGTGGTCCACGTACCACGAGAAAAACCTGGTGAAAGGAGCCTGCCAGAGGACACTCAGCGACCTGAAGCTGGACTATCTGGACCTCTACCTTATTCACTGGCCCATCAGTTTCAAGGTACGGAGCACAGGGCTCAGGGGTAGCCTGCGGCGCGTGGGGCCTCCTTTGTTGTCAGGTTATGAGTTGGCACACGCTCTGCGTGTGGTGTTACTGCTCACGGCGCAGTCCCCAGGCCTGCAGCAGGGACCAAACCCGGGAGCTTGTTAGACATCAGTCTTGGGGCCCACTCGTGGACTCTGAATCCAAACCCCAGTGACTTAGCTGCACCTCACAGAGTCTGAAGAGCCGTGCACTGGGTCAGTTGGTGAATGTATCATTTACAACCTTGTGACAGCAAACACCGCTCAGGTGACACATCTGCCTTTAGCCACAGGTGTCATCTGTTACCGCCACCCTGCCCGGAGGCACAGGCACACGCACACGTACCCATTCCTACCTGCACCTGTGTCTGTGTGTATCTTCCTACATTCCGCACTCATGCCGCACCCTGCGGAGGCTCAGCGGGCCCGCACGGGCCGTGTCACACTGTCCCGAAGGAATCTCGCGTGACTGTGTCCCTTGCCTTCACTCCAGCTATGGGCTCAGTTTTCTGCTTTGTCAGCCACATGGGAAGTGTGCCCTTTACCCTACAGCCCTATTTCGTTGTGCCATGTGGTATCAGGGCCTGACTTTTACCATTTGTGCTTCGCGATAAGCCAGCGAGGCTCGGCGAGGCCATGGCCCCGTAGGCTGATGATCAGCCAGGACGTGGACCCCGCAAGCCCTGGTCCTGAGTCCTTCCTCCATCCACACACTCCCGTCCCTGGTGGGGCTCGTCTCGCCGGCCGAGAATTAGCCACCTCCGTCTGACAGTCCGCTCACGCCCTTCTAGCAGAACGAGACTCGGGGGGTTTCCGGAGTTGTCTGCCTGTTTCTCTCATGGACACAGATTTGCCCTTGATTATCTTCTAAAAACTTAGCCAGCCCTTGTAGTTGAGGATATTTTTAAAACTTTGCTTTCAAAGACGCGGTTCCCCAGCATGTCTGTGAAGGGCTGTTAACCGATTATTTGCGTTTCATTGTTGGAACAGTCTGGGGAGGATTTTTTCCCGTTGGATGCGAAAGGCAACGTGATTTCCTCTGACGCTGACTTTCTGGACACGTGGGAGGTAAGGCCGTCCCCGGTGGGGCTTTCTTCTCCAGGGCTGGTCTCCTGTTGTTCCTGTGAGAGGGCAGATGTGCGTTCTGCCACTTTTTTTTTTGGTCATCACCCGAGGACATGCTTACTGATTTTCGAGGGGAAGGGAGGGAGGAGGGAGAACAAGAGGGAGGAAAAACATCCATATGAGAGAGAAACATTGACCGGTTGCCTTTCGTATGTGCCTTGAGTGGGAATCGAACCCATGACCTTTGGGTTTACAGGATGGTGCTCCAACCAATGGAGCCACACTGGCCAGGGCTCTGCCACTGGTTTTGCTCTTCCTGTCCGTTTAAGCCAGCCTGACATCTGTCTTTATGTTTCTTGGCTTCCCAAAGGTCTGTCTCTGGTACCCAACAGTAAGGGCAGGGCTGGTGTAAAAGATACTTCTGATCCTTTCCCGTGGGGCACATGTCAGGTGCAGGCTCCCTCTCTTTTGTCTTTAGGTCATGGAAGAGCTGGTCGATGAAGGGCTGGTGAAAAATATTGGAATCTCCAACTTCAACCACGTCCAAATCGAGAGGCTCTTAAACAAACCTGGCTTAAAATATAAGCCGGCGGTCAACCAGGTAAGCATCCAGCAGGGAAGCCTGTGGGCGCGGCAGGTACTTGGTACCTGCTGACTCTGGCAGGTGCCTCTTGTCCGCATCCCGCACCCCCCAGGGGCCCGGCCTGCTCCTGGGCACTGGCAGAGGCCTCATTCAGGACTCAGCATGACAGTGGCACCTTTGGGAGTGAGACTTGGGAGAGAGAAAGGGTGTGAGCCTGTCCCGTGGCGGCTCAGGGTCTCGCAGAGCGCGGCCTGTGGACGTTAAGACCCTCAGACCTGTCGCAGGTGACAAGTGGCCAAAGCCAGGAAAATCCCTTAGGGCCCATGGCCACATTACGTTGGTAACAAGGTTATTCTTATAAATGTCAAGGCCACTAGCTGAGAAACATAGATGTCATTACGGCTTATCTGGGAGATAGGACGCTGGGTACACATAACATCCTATCTGGTGAGGCCAGGACTTGGCACGGAGAACCTTCCTGTGTGTCCTGTCGCCTGCGCCCAGGGCTGCATCAGCCTCCCGTTTGCGCTTGCAGATTGAGTGCCACCCGTACCTCACTCAGGAGAAGTTAATCCAGTATTGCCAGTCCAAAGGCATTGCGGTGACTGCCTACAGTCCCCTCGGCTCTCCCGACAGGCCCTGGTGAGTTTCCACGAGACCGTGTTTTCTTGTCAGTTGGGGAAAATTAGAAATGGTTAGAGAGAAAACGTCAGCATCAAGGCAGGTGGCTCTGGCGCTAATTTGCAGACCTTCCCAAGAGCCTCTTTGTTGGTGTCCTGGGCCTGCTCTTTTTCCAAAGGGTTGGGAGTTCATAACCAAGCTTTGAATCGGGAGGAGACTGGCCAGCCTCCCTCTGAGGTTCACGGAGTTAGGTTTGGGGTGCCGGCTCTCTTGAGGGGCAGCACCAACGGTTTCTCACATGGGCCATTGTTCTGTCTCCAGGGCCAAGCCTGAGGACCCTTCCCTACTGGAGGATCCCAGGATCAAAGCCATAGCTGACAAGTACAATAAAACCACAGCCCAGGTATGGCCGTTGCCCAGCGCTTGTGACTGTCCCCAGAACTGTGTTCGTGGCAGTCCCTGTGGGCCAGGAGGGGGAGGTGACCGAGCTCAGTCAAGCCTTCCTAGAAGTGTGGCTTGGAGTCCTGGGGTGTGTAGTAGACAGCACAGCAGCTGGGGAGTTAAAATGCTGCCATACGGTCTAGGAATAGCAGCGCCTGCCCGCCACCTTCCTGGGCCGCTGCAAGGGTCAGCAGCTGCTCTGTAGGTGAAAGCGCGACTCTGGACCCTTGGCAAAGCTCCCGTTACGGGCTGCACAGGAAGCATCGTTCTCCCTAGCGGCAGGAGGAGTTAGGGAGAACTCCTAACTGATCCTAACTGATCCGCGGGCTGTCCCCTTGCGGGTAGGACACCTGGGAGACACCGAGGCGCTTGGCCTGATGGCTGAGCGCAGGGCTCTGGGGTCAGATCTTGCGTGCCACCCTCCCCGTTGCTGGGTGTGACCCTGACGTCTCTGAGCCTTGCTTTCCTCACCTGAGGTTCTGGAATTCCCCCTTTCTGATGACGGAGACGAGAGATTAAGCGGGGTGACGACAGATGATGTGCTTATGTGCTCCGCACGTCTGTGTGCAGGTTCTGATCCGGTTCCCCATGCAGAGGAATTTGGTCGTGATCCCCAAGTCTGTGACTCCGGAACGCATCGCCGAGAACTTCCAGGTGAGGTCCTGGCTGGCCGCCCCGGTTTTCCTCAGTGGAGAAGGCGGTGGGGAAGGACCCTTCCTAGGGTCTCACCCTGTCCCTGCAGTATTGTTTGTGGGACCCTTACCCTCTGTCCCATCTCGGTCAGGGAGCCACCCTCAGCAAGCTGCAGGGAGCACACCTTGGACTTGGGAAAGTGGCTCTCCCTTGGTGGAGGCACTGTTTTGGGGTGGGCCCTGTGCCTCAGTTTACCCTCTGTACATGCACACTCCAACATGAGGCTCGTCGGTGACTGTTTGCCCTGAGAAATGGTCGTGAATGACACTGGCTTTGCATCAGAGTTTTGCTAGTTACCTCAGTTTCCCCAACTGTAAAATCGTACCTAGTTCAAGGGTTGTCATGAAGATTAAATATGATTCATCAAAGGGCTTCACAGAGCATACTTGGTACCCTAGTAAGCGCTCAGGAAATGCTGCTGTGCTGCTGCTGAGTCCGTGGTCTGCAAAGACTTTATAGGCCATTCCTGCCCACCCCTTCGGCCAAGACCCCGTCCTGCAGTGGGCAGAGCAACAGGGCTGGCGTCAGAGCGCGTGAGGTGTTCTGTGTGGGCGCTGGGGGCACCCCCGAGCAGATCGGCTGGCTCGGCATCGGCATCACACCCTCCCTGCCTCCCACACTCGTGTGGGTCTGGGGCAGAAGAGCTCTGGGCAGCACCTGAGTCTGGCCCCCCAAGCAAAGCTCCACCGCGGCCACGCCGTCCTCACCCAGGTTGTGGTTTCCAGTGGCAGTTTCCACAGTGAATGGCTGGCTGTGCCTGTTCCTTAGCCGTAGGCTGTGGCTGCAACACGTGCCAATGGTCACCTGGGAGAGACTGGGGTGGAGTCTGGGGAGCGGGGAGGGGAGCTCTTTTGATAGTAGGGAAGAATTTTCTCCTTTCTTCAGATGTTTTGACTCTTTGAGATAAAGTGGTAAAACAGTGACCACTAGGGGAAACACGTCATGCTAGGGATGGATTCTTTGTTTCATATATTTTATTTTTTTCAAGGTGTTAGACAATAATTTTGAAATGACTAATGTCATAGAGTTAACATTTTATTTTCATTTCTGGGTGTGCAGTCCTTGCACATTTTTGCACAGCTGTGTTCACAGGGTCCTCAACAGACTTTCTCCTTGCACATTCTGTGATCGTCACAGGCCGAGGGCACTCCTGGTGTGTGGCCGGTTTTCTCACGCCTCCCCGGGGCCGCCCGGGGCCTGCCCACCGGCCCCTGCCGGCCACGTCTCCCCTGAGACTGTGGTCTTCGTGCAGATGGTTCCCCCGCTACCCCTCCTGCCCTGTCTGTCCACGCCTGTCAGGCGTTGGAGGCCTGCCTCAAACCCTTCACCTTGACCGCAGCCTTCAATCCGCAGCTGGGATGCATCCCGGTTCCGCTGGACGTCCCGCGTGCTCTGTGCAGTGCCTTTCATACAGCGTGCGATCAGTTCCCTCTCGTGCTACAGCCATTGTGTTTCCTTTGCTTCGTTGCAAACTGAGGCAAAGACGCGTCTCACGCATCCTGTGTTCCCTGGTGCTGAGCACAGCACAAGTGCCCAGCAGTGGTCTTGAAATGAACTAAATGGAATGAAAAGTATGATTTTGCTGGGAGGTTCTGGAAGGGAAGGAGTGTTTTCGATGTCTCGTGTTAGTACCAAGGGAAGCCTGTACCTTCCGTGGGTCCTCAGAGGGTGCACTTTCTCTGAGTTGAGTCCCCCTTCTCCCTTCCCCACTCAGGTGGCATCTCATCAGTGACCGTCTACAGAGCTGCTGGGGGTATCCTGTGTTGGAGCTTAGCGCTTATTGGCTGTTTTTTCTTTCTAGGTCTTCGACTTTGAACTGAGCAATGAGGATATGACCACGTTACTCAGCTACAACAGGAACTGGAGGGTCTGTTCCTTGGTGAGGTGAGTAGGGTCCCGGGCGAGCATCAGGTGCTGCAGAGCGAAAGCCTAACTCCTGGAGGCCTTGGCGTCCAAGCCCTGCTCTCCCGGACGCCCTTACCTGCATCCTCGTGTGTGTGCAGCCAGAGACGTTTCATCCTGTGTCAGCTGAGCCGCATGCAGCCACGGGGGAGATGCCAAGGCATCTGCTCCAGTGTCTTCTCGTCCTGGGCCAGGTGCTTTGTTGGCCTGACCTGCAGTATCCGCACATTCTCCAATCAAAGGGGCTCAGTAGGAAATGCGGTGTTCAGAGCCTGAGGTTATCCCGGCTCTGATACCACTAAAGCCACTCGGAGGAAGTCATTCAACCCCTCTGACTGAGGCAGAGCCCCCTCCGGGCCCTCCAGCTGCACATTCGCTGGTGCCTTGTGTTCCTTCCGATTTGGAGTTTGGACCCTGAGGGAGGTGAAGAGGAAGGCTGTTGATTTTCTTTCCTGGCCCGCACAGCAACTCAAGTTCAAAACGCGCTTTCTGCTTTCAGGAAGAAACGTCCCGTTTTCTAGTGGAGACTAAGAACCTCCTTTCTCGCTGCTTTTACTGTCTGATCTCTCTGCTGGTTTCTGCTCTGTCTCCTTAGTAGTCAGTTACTCATCTAAGTAAAATGTGAATGCTCGCTGAGACGGGCGGGGTGGGGGGTGCTAGCTTTCCTTCCCAGCCTCTGTGCTCTCTCTGTCCCCCTCAGAGTTTGCGCCGCTGGTGGCATTCGCCGCCACCCCCGGCCGATGTCCGCCCGCTCTGCAGCTTGGATGGTAAATCCCTGTCTTCGGGTGTGAATGTGCTTGTGAGCATGCTGCTATCTTTCACACCAGGGCCTCAGATTCAAAAGAGGCCACAAACAGAGTTTATCACTGGCAGCCCCAAACCAGGGCCCTTTCTGATGTCTGTGTGTGTTCATGTTGTTGAACCTTTAGACATCGAAACTGCTTTTGGATCTGGCGGGGAAGGGGGAGACGCGAATCTTTCACTCAGTTACATCTGTTCTGCTCTGAGAGTCTCTGAGTCATACATTCGGTTCCCTGTCCACTGCTCACAGGATTATTGAAGCTCTCGGGGCTGACAGACCACAGTGGTTTACTAGTTGATCCCTTTGTTACTTAGGCATCCTCCACTCTCCAGCGCAATTCTGGAAACCAACTATCAGATTATTCTATGGGCTGCCGGTGTGTGTTGGGGATGTTTGGGGTCTGAATGGGGAGGGAGAGGCTGTCTCCCACATTCCCAGGTCACCAAGAAAGCTTTGTGGAACTATATGTACATGTACATACACATTCACGTTACTTCTGTTTGGCAGTTACTATGATACTTACACCAGTGCCATTATTTTCAAGTTTGACAGGACGCAAAAAAACAAAAAACGTTTGGGGAACTTTTGAATGGTTCTGAATATTTGAATAAGTGTTAAAAACCAGGTTTGCCCTGGGCTAACCAGTTTTTCCAACATTGCCATTATGTTCCCAGCACAAGCCGTTGGCCCTGCCAGATGGAGCTGTGGGCCGTGGACCGTGGCAGACATGCCTGCAGCTCTCCATCCCCGGACCAGTGCCCAGCCTGTCCCCTCCCCTCTCTTTGTTTTTCAGATCCTCCACTACTCCCCTGGGTCCATGTCAGCTCCTGCTGACACCAGGAGACTTCTGGAGGGGACAGTGCCCCCTCTCCCCATGTACGCGGAGCCCGTCCTTGTTACACGCACACACTCTAAGCATCTCTTATGTTATTTACCACCCACTTAGTGTTTAAGACAGTAAGGCGCGCTCTTGTCTGGCCTGACAGGCTGAGTTACCGGGAGGCCAGAGTGGCACCTTGCTGACCTGGGCAGGTGGGGCACAGGGCTGGGTACACAGGAAGGGTGATGTCCGACATGCACGGTCCAGTCCCAGGGGGCACGTGGCAGGTCCCTCCCAGGCCTTTATTGCTCCCTGCAATGAGACACTCACCGTTTTTGTCTTTTTGTAATTTATTACGGCCGAAATCCCCTCTTGAAAAGCTCATGTATTGTTCTTTCCTCCTCACAGCTGTATCTACCACAAGAATTATCCCTTCCATGAAGAGTTTTGAAGCTGTGGGTGCCTGCCCTTCCCCAACGAGCTGTACCTACCCTTTCTGCCTCGTTCTTCCTGTATGCAGTGTAGCGTAGCGCGCATCCCTCAGCGTTGGGGGCAGCCACCGGCAGACGAACCAGTGAGGGCCTCGCCAGCCTGGCCTTGGGTCTGAAGAACAATCTGAGTAGAGGTCTCTCAGTTTCCTTTGCCCTCCTTGTCCAGCAAGAAAGTACAATCTCAATATCCTTCCCTAAGTTGAAAAAATAGTTCACTAACAGTTAGGTTTTGGCTGCTTGGAACTGTAATCCTCTCAGCCAGAACCAAATAACAAGTACTCTCTGAGCTCAATGGTGTCGGTTTGGTTTGGTGTGTTGAGATGACTCATCGCCTTTTGTCGCAGTTGACCTTCATCCCACTGTTCCCCACAGAGCCGGCCATTTGACCCTGCAACACAAATGAGGACTTGGCACCTTCCCTTTGGCGGGGGACCCCTTCAGCCAGTATTTTGCCCAGTTACCTTTCGGGTAACTTTGGAGTCAGCTGGGGAGCCGCAGGTGCTAGTGATGTCTGGCCCTCCTTAGATGTGTGGAGACGCTCTCATCAGTCTAGGGGGTAGGTGGCCGGGACATCGAGAGTCCGCATGCCCCCCAGGGGGGGTTCTAAGGTGCAGCCAAGGTGAGAGCCACAGCTTTAGGGCCCAGCCAGGCTGTTAACCCATTTGTAGCTGCGCAAATTACTCCATCACTCCTCTCAAAAGCCAAAGTCCAGTTTACTAGGCAGCACTCCTTACAAGTACCTGCTTTCGTGAGCTCCATTGTCTAGACTAGAGAGAAGAAGAGCATCATTAATTGCTATCTATCTTAGCTGGGGCCCCCGTACAAAATACCACAGATGGGGTGCCTTAAACAAGAGGTCCATTTCTCAGAGTTCCTGAGGCCAGAAGCCGGATCAGGGTGGTAGCGTGGTCGGGTTCAGTGAGGACCCGCATCCTGGTCTGTAGGTGGCCACCTGCCCACTGTTTGCACGTGACAGAAGGGTGAATGCTTTTCACTAGGGTTACGGAAGTAAAGGTCCCCGTATTCATTTTTTTTATCCCCCCCTTTTTTTTTTTACTTTTACAAATGCTGTTGCTTGTTTTTATTAATGTTTCCTTACCTCATAATGTCAAGTTAAATTGACAACAGCCAGGAGAAGGATGGGATAGATAGGTGTTGACTTCAAGTGTCTTGGACAGATTGCTTCATAACCCACTTTATCAGATGACCATGGCCTCGAATGAATAGGTGGCCTTAACTGCTTGGCAGGTGAAGTGTGTAGGTAGTAGTTGAACAGCGGTGGCTGCTAGCGGCACCCAGGGGTGACAAAGAGCACCAGGCTCCTGAGTGGCTAGGGTGGAGCCAGGTGGGGGATGCAGAGCCCCACCCACTGGCAGCCCTGAGCCTGGGCCTTTCTTCCTGGCACCTGCTGGTCACAGGGGTACGGTTTTCCCTGCTGGATACACAGGTCCCACCCTGTCCCAAGTTAAACTGCAAAACCTCTTCACTCACCCTCTAAATGATCAAGAGCAGACTATATGTTATATCAAGTTCACTACAACCCAATCCCTGCCCTTTTTTTGCAGTCAAGAATTGGCGTGAACACACTGTGGGAAAACTTTGAGGTAGTCCTTACCAAGAGTTTAAATGAGCTGCTTGCCTTCTAGAGCCCAGAGTAAAAACAGATCAAAACAAAGATTGGAAAAGTCAGCCAGAAGCACCAACAAGATAAAAGGCCTGGCGCTAGCCTGACCTGCTCTCCAGGAGAGACCGAGATGCTATCTGGGAACGTGTCCCTGACAAGGCTGGCCTGGGTTTGGGGAGAGGAGGAAACCAAGGCCGCCTCTTACAAATCACAAAGGACTTGTTCTGTATTTTCAAGATAAAATAGTTTGTGTGGCAGTCGGTGGCCCCAGGAACAGATTTGGGAGGGGGGTGGCCTGTGTGGGCTCGTTGGAGCCAGCTTCACACTACGGCTAACAACTGACCTGAGGCTGCGGCAGGTAGACGCCGGCGGGTCTCCATAGATAGAGACCACTTTTCCCGTGGACAGCCCCCTCCTCCCTTCCCTTTGTGGAAATCATACCTTCTGGGGCAGATTCCAGACCAGCCTAATAGCTCAAGAGTCACTGTGGTGATGTGAAATACAAAATAACATCCACGAAACAGTTGGAATTCCACCAGAACAGTTCAGCTGAAGAGAACTGTTAAGGGCAACTGAAAGGGAACTAAATTTTAATGAATCGCAGGGGCGGTTAACGCCTGCGCTTGAAAAGCCTCTCTGAGCAGTGCGGCCGCGGACTTGATTTCATACAGCCATTTCTCAGGGTCCAATGTCACAGCGAGGTCTCTCAAGGCCAAATTGATGTTTTAGGGCAGGGTCTGCAGTGCTGGACACCAGAAGCAGTCATTCCAGAAGCCTGGGCAGTCCTTAGCCAGAAGCACAACCCAGGCTGCCTTCCTAGAGGGACTGTCTTTGGGGACTGCCTTAGAGGGACTGGTGGCCTTTGGAAGATCGTGGTCCTCTGGGATCCAGGTCACACCTAGTCTTTCGTCCTTGGAAGGCATCTCCTAGCTGTGATCCAAGGAAAACCTTGGTCTCCAGGATCCCGAGAGGAACCTTTCTCTCTGCCTCGGAGCCTGGCCACTCAGGTTCTCCTCTAGCCCAACTTCAGCTCAGCCTGAGGAAGCGCTAGTATCTGTTTTCCTTGCCCTTTTGCCCACAGAGCCTGGAGCAGCACCCGGGCGCAGACACGGCTCCCGATGTCAGTTGCATGAACTAGCCAGTGAACGAATGAAGAGCTTTTCTTACAATGACTAGTAAAACCTCCTAGTGTGAAATGGATGTATTTCAGACCCAAAAGGGCTGCTTAGTTCTGAATAGTGGCCTAAAATACATGGAAGGGTGGCAAAGTGTGGTGTAGGGGTAGACAGTCTTCATTGCAGCTGCACTCTTCCTAATCGTGACCTTGGAGGTTAATGTACCAGCCTTCATTTCCTCAATCTCTAAAATGCCTACCTCCTAGCAGTCGTTGAGATTAAATGAGATCATACATGGAAAACCCCTATCCCAGGCCTTGCACACAGCACTCAGTGCGTGCTAGTTATTGTTGCTGAGGCTGTCGATGTTATAACCAAATGTCAACAACAGAAACACACCCATCTGTTTGCAGGTGGTGGCCCTGGGGGACCTAAGCCCAGAGAGGGTTCTTTCCTCTCTAAGAACAGTTCTTTCTCCAGGGCTGGACTCTGCCCAACCCCATGCACAGGATGGACAGCTCCTGATACATTTTTCAGTGAGCAGCACAATGAACGCTTTTGTTTCCAGTCTTGTTTCCAATCTGAATTGCGCTGGCCGGCCCAAGAATGAGCCCTGAAGACAATACTGCCTATGTGTTTGTAAGAAGTATATTTTTTCATATGGATAGATGAACCCATAGAGTGTCAAGAAGTCTTCCGATCCTGTGTTTCCCTAATCGAGTATTTTCCAACTTACTTTTGCAGCAGACTCCTTTTCTTCAAAACAAATGCCACGCAGATCCTCAGTCTATACACCAGATAAAGACAGAGCTGCAGCAGCTTAAGTGGGGGGAGACTCTCAGGACCAAGCCTGTCGACCCCACGCACAGCCCCCCAACCACAAGGGCCCTCAACAGTTTCAAGGCCTTGAGAGCCAACCCTTCTTTCGTTTATTTGGGAAAACTATAAATGTTTCTTTTACACAGTTGCTGGAGTTCCGGAATTCTGGCGTGGCTTAGCTGGGTGGATGAGGGTCTCATGAGGTGACAGTAGACAGGACAGCTGGGAATCGTCTTGCAAAGGCTGGGCTGGGCTGGAGGACTTGATTCCAAGATGGCACACTCAGTCATGCAATCCTGAGCCTCAGGTCCTTTTATAAAGCTGCTGGAGTACTCAAGCCATGTAGGCTGATTCTCCCTCAGTGAGTGATCCAAGAGCTGCGCAAAGTGCCACAATGTCTTCGTTTTCTAACCTCAGATGTCACACACCATCATTTCCTCAAAGGTTATCCCTATTCACTGGGACGCCAGGGAGGCTGGTTACCACAATGTGCAAAGCTAGAACTGCAGAGTGTTCAGAAAGCTTTTCAGGAATAAATGCAAATATCTCCAAAGGATATATGTTTGCCTTGGCATGACCGGCCAAGCAACCGTTTGGTTTAACAACGATAAAAAGTCCTGAGGATCAGAAAGATGAAGTGACCAGCCAAAGCTCACAGAGCAATTTAAGTAGCAAGTTAATGTCTCCAGATTCTAATCTATTGCATTACATCGTAATATTGTTAACAATGACATTGTGTTGTAATAAAAATTAGAGCGCCCTACCTATGTACACCACTTTATGACCAGGCGATCACGGTTGAGAGCGTAAGATTGATAGTGCGTGCTCTTGACATGCTGTGGCGAGAATGGCAATTTACCTCTATGATCGTCCCCAAACCCCAGTCTAATCGTGAGAAAATATCAGAGAAATCGGATGTAATCACGGGACTTTATACAAAACTCCTGACCATTATCGATACTCAAAACTGACGCAGTTACCAAACACCTTAAAAGTCTGAGAAGCCCACACAGCCAAGAGGAGCCCAGGGAGACCCAGCGGCTGAGCAGATGGGCTCCCGGGTCAGGAAAAAGGCCACTGGGGGCAGCTAAGGATGTTGGCATTGTCTAGACTTTATTTATTTTTTTATAAGAGTTTTTTTTTTTGAGCCAAACCAACAAGAAAATGCCAGTAAGCAAGATCTCAAATGCTCCCTAGAATAGTCTGGACTTTACTTAGCAATAATTTGCAATATTGATTCACTAACTATGCCAAATGTATCATATTAATGTAATCTGTTAATAATGGAGACTGGGTGTGGAGTATGTTGGAACTCTGTACTCTTAGAAAGTTTTCTGTAAATCTAAACCTATTAAAAATATAGAACTTCAAAAATAAAATACCTGTTAAGGGAAAACTTTATAAACGGAACCATTTTTCTAATCAAAATATAACAAGTCTGCCTAGATTACTCACTTGCTTTCAAAATGCTCACACTTTTCTTAGATCAAGCAAATAAAATAATTAGCAAGGGTACAGATTTGAACAGCATAATCACTAATTCTCTTTGTAGAGACTACAGATTTCTAAGCACAGGGGGGACATTTATGAAAACCAATGATAATGCTAGGGCCAAAGTGCTTGCCTCAACAAATCTCAACAAATTGATGTCATTTAGATTATATTATCTGACCATGATTAAATAAAATCATAAAATATTAACAAAAAAATTAACCATAAACTGCCCACTCTTTCACATACACATTTGGAAATTTAAAAAGGCATAACATAAATTTTCTTTTTAAAAAAGAAAACAGCAAACCTACATAACATTTATTAATGATTAATTATGTCCCAAGTAATATTTTATGAACTTGATAAATGTATTTTTAATCCTCTGGACAATGCCTTGAGGTTGGTCCTCTTGTTACCGCACTCACAGATGAAGAAACCGGGACACAAAGAGGCGGAACAGCCCGCCTGCGATGCTGGGGAAAAGGTGGAGCAGGGTGTGCAGGTGGGCAGTCTGACTCCAGAGTCTCCT